CACTATTACATAAAAACATATGATCTAAAAAGCCTACAAAACAAAAATATGTTACATTATCTAATGAATGATCTAACCAATCTCCTATTGGTGAACAAATACCAGAAGAACGTGCACGAATACCATCACATGAATCAGCAATCCAAAACCATAAAATTGAAAATGAATTAAAAATACACATCCATGCTGGAAGTGGTTGTGAATAATCTGGATATAATATTGTCATTAATGTAAATGCAAGAATTGGCATTACATTCCCACTTAATGTAATCATATTTGGAACTACCCATTTTGGAATAATATTATTAATTGGAATAAAGAGATAAGGAATATTAATTTTATTATTAATAATTGACTCATCTCTTGTTTGTATTTTATAATGTTCAAGATGGTCAGCTTCTTCAGGAGTTAATTTAAAATGGAATATTGTGGTGTCCATATCTATCTATTTGATTTCTTCTTTGTTTTTAGGGTTAAACAGGGTATGTTTATCATTAAAAATAATCTTTGTTGACTGTTATAATTTCCTAGAAATACTTTCTAATTCTTCTTCCCTTAGTTGGAGCCATCTCACTCCTTTAAATCTTATTTTTATTCATAACGTATGGACTTTCTTCTCTTTTTTGTTTTGGTTTTTAGTTTTTTTTTTAAATTATTATGAATAATCTAATTTTATAAAAGTTACTTCTAATTAAAATTGAAGTTTTTTTTTGTGCATGTCTTGTTATAATTAGAGTTTGTTTAAGTTAATTAGGATAGTGTTTGTTTGTTTGTATTTTTATGATAGAAACTAATTTTTAAAAGGGAAAAAGTTATAATTACTTGATTTATAAATCGTGTTTTCGTTTTTTATGAATTTAGAGGTTATTTAAAGTTTTTTTGGATTGTGTTGTTATTTTGTTAATAATGTTTATATTAATATTGAAAGAAACTATTTCATTATGTTATGCCCAGATTATTATTCTCTTGTTAGAAGGTATTTCTTTGTGTTTATAGGATTAATTAGAATCTATACTTTCTATCTTTTCTCTATTTCTTAATAACTTAATCTTTCCTTATATGTTTTGATTATTTATATTTTGAATATTCTTGTAATTTTTTTTCATAGTTTCTATTTATCAGTCACAGTTCTTTATTTCTTCTTTGATTCATTGGTGTTATAATAAAAATATTAATACAAATATCAAGAAATGAGGAAAATATAGTATTACAGTTTAATAGTAATAAAGAAACAATTGTATTTTTTTATTATAATTTGTTATTAATTATAAAATATTAATTTACTTTAATTTTTAATTATGTTTTAATTCAATTAATTACATTCAGTTAATATTTTGTTAAATTATCATTAGGTTCATTAGGTTCAATGCTATCATAAATTGGTTCATTCCTTTTTAGATTTTATCTGATTAATATATTACCATTTTT